GGACCTTTGTTGATCGTCGCCCAAGAGTCTCTGGGTTCCTTCCCCGACCACTCAGTTTGTAACTCCTCTAAGGACTCAGACACATCTCTCAAACATAGCATTGGTGGGTCTATGTGTGTGTGCAGGGCGATAACAGGGTCAATAGCCTTGGCCAACGCCTGAAGTAGAGAAGGCAATGTTACCACTTTAGGACGGGTAAGAGCGGCTAAAACTCCTACTCACGTGAGGTGTTTCCCTGAGAAGTGCTCGCAGAGGCACCACCAGGGTTCGAAGACAAGCCTATCACCATTGGAGAGGCTACCTTCGTTGTGAACTTTTTGTCTCGGCATGTTTGCAATCGGACTCGTCTTATTCACACTTCTCATGTGTGTAAACAGCAGCACAGCACACTGGCAACATGCGGCCACACAGAACTCCGAGATATGGCTTCCAGATACGAGTTTACTTTCAACTGGCTATGGCGACTTAGCACCCAAACAACTCACTGTTCACACACTGGATCACCCTGGATATCCCACACACGTCACTCTGAACGCTCACACAGGCACACACACTCTCCCCACTAACTACAGCTATGACAGCTATGGCTGCCCTTACCCTATCGCTATGGCTGCACTTCGTCTCTCTCGCCCACTTCTACCTCGGGCTCACTGCAGACCTCCTTGCACAAGACATTGAGACAACGCTTCCGCATGGCTCCCGCATGAATGAATGAATGGTAAGGCGCTGCCTCTTGATTTATACTTCTGTAGGTTGTTGGTCTGGCCCATTTTCCTGGCCCGAAGTGCACAACAACAGTCCGTCGCAAACTCCTTGGTTCCGGGCGGTAGTCTGTGAATCTGATCCCGGTTCAGTCCGTCGAACGGTTTGAGTGGTCTAAAGGACTTATGCAATTCATTGGGAGTTCGGCAGGTGGACAGATGCACGTTGTTGTTGTATGCACTAGCTACCTTAGGCAACATCTCATCCCAGTTGATTTGATCTGGTCTAATGTACATGCGCAGAACTTGCTGTAGGATCTTGTTCATCTGTTCTGTCTGACCGTTTGTCTCTGGATGTCGGCCAGATGACATTAACAACTTAGATCTGTACACTCGCATGAGTTATTGCCAGTTCTGGCTGGTGAAGCGACTATCTCTATCGCTGACTATTGACAATGGGATTTCGTTCTCACTAACCCAAAAGTCAAAGAACTTCTGTATCACTAAGTTTGTACGTGCCTCTACAGGCAAAGGAACAAAAACTGCGTATTTACTGAAGCGGTCAACTACGACCATGACTTGGCTCTTACCATGTCTGCTCTTGACTTGGGTGTCCATGAAGTCTATGGACACTGAGTCTCCCGGCTGATCCGGAATAGGCAAGGGTCTGAGAAGACCAAGGGGTGCATGTGTAGTAGTCTTGTTACGCTGGCATGCTTTACAATTGCGGACATACTATATGCAGTCATTCTTCATTCCTGGCCAGGTATACGCGCGCATTAAATTAGCTAATGTCTTTTGCCAACCGAAATGTCCCTCAGTATCGTGGCATTCCCCTAAGATTAAATTGCGGATCTCTTCGCTGTTGGGAACGCACAGGCGGTCAAACACATTAGTCTTCTCAAACAACAACCCATCTGTAGCGCGGTAATCTGGTTCAGTCTTTGGGGCCTCTCTAACTCTCTTTAGGAGGTCGCTATAGATAGGGTCCTGTGCATACGCTTGCTTCACTTTCTCTTGCAGGTCTCTCCCTATATCCAAATAGTGTACTACAACTCCAAAGTAGTCTGATCTGCTACTTAGAGCATCCGCAACTACGTTGTACTTGCCCTTCACTGGCTTGAGCTCAAAGTCGAATTGGTCTATTTCTGCGGCCCACCTAGTCAACTTAGGTGTCATCTGGGCCTGAGTCTTTAACCATCTAAGCGTTTTTTTGTCCGAATACACTTTGAAGTGCCTCCCAAGCAGGTAGTGCTTCCAATGGTCTAAAACCTGCCTAAGAGCGTAGAGTTTTCTCTCGTACGTGGAGGTAGCGACCTTCTTACAGGGCATCCTCGCTGACATGAACTCCACGGGTCTATAGCCACTGACGCCATCTTGTTGTAATACGGCGCCTATCCCATACTGACTTGCGTCCGTGGTAACGACAAATGGCAAAGACGGATCGGCTTCTTTGAGGACGGGGTACTCTATTAACGCGCGCTTTAACTTCTTGAGCGCAGACGTACAATCTTTGTCCCACTGCCAGATTGCTTCCTTTTTAAGTAACCTGCGTAAGGGAGCGGCGATAGTAGAGAAGTTCCTCACGAACTTTCTATAGTAGTTAGCTAGGCCTAGGAACGATCGCAACTAAGTCAATGTGCAGGGCGTCAGCCAATCTCTAATCGCCGCAATTTTGTTGTCCTCTGGCTTAATGCCATCTCCGTCTAATACGTGGCCCAAGTACAGGACTTGCGTCTTGGCCTACTCACACTTCTTTGCGTTGATCTTGAAGTTAGCCTCTCGAAGCTTTTCCAAGACCTGCCTGAGATGACCCTGATGCTCCTGGACGGTCTTACTAAAAATTAAGATGTCATCTAAATAGACTACGACAAACTTATCCAACCAGGGTCTAAACAGATCATTCATGCAACGCTGAAATGTAGTTGGCGCGTTGGTTAGTCCAAAGGGCATCACTATGAACTCATAGTGCCCATATCTAGTCCGGAAAGCAATCTTGTACTGATCATCAGGGTGGACTTTTATCTGATGATAACCGGACTTCAAATCACTCTTAGTGAAATACTTACAACCCTGCACCCGATCTAAAAGATCGTCTATCCTGGGCAGCGGCTCAGCATTCTTCACTGTAATCGCATTCAAACCCCTATAGTCTATACACATTCTCATCTCTCCTTCCTTATTGGGGACAAACAAAACGGGTGCTCCAAAAGGAGACGAACTGGACCTGATCCAACCTTTCTCAAGGAGCTCGTCTAATTGCTTGCGCAGCTCCTCTAACTCCCTAGGGGACATCCTGTAGATTGCTCCCTTAGGAGTTCTACTGCCAGGTTTTATCTCTATCCTGTGCTGGATGGGTCGCGGCACTACTCCTGTCGGCGACTCGGTCAAGTCTTTGAACTCTTCCAGCAACTTGGCTATGGTTGGATCCGTGGAACTTATCTCTTCCTTGCCCTCAGCGACATGTCTAATATACACTACAAAGACCTGGTCCTCTAATTGCTCCTTTTTGACTAATCGCGCGAACGCGGGAGCACAAAGACAGCAGTGTGCTAGCGCGTTGTCTATGCATGACACATGAAACAGGCGGGTTGTCTTAACCTCGCCTGACGGACTAGGGAGCCTACACTTATGTTCCCTCAAATGGAGTGTAGCTCCGGCTGCCTCTCCCCAATCCATTCCCAATACTACGTCGAAGGGAAGGTCATCCTGTACGAGGAGAGTCAGGGAATGGAGAACTTTCTCCACCTTCCCATCCTTCTTTAGGTGAAAGTATGCCTGGACTCCCTCTACATAGTCCTCAACACGCATTATGCGGTTGTCTGCGAGGAAACTGACTATGGGGTCTGCCAACTTTCGGACTTTCAATCCTAACCTCAACTTCTTGAGCGACCTACAGCTAATATAACTACGGGTGGCCCCTGAGTCTATAAGGGCTCCTACTCTACTTCTGAAAACCTCTACGTCTACCAAGATTAGTTGTCCTTTACTCTCCTTCTTCATCTTGGCCCAGGCTGGCATCCTTTCCTTTAACTCTTCTGCCACATCTGTGAGGGACGTGCCTAAAGAGACGCTAACACAAGCGGTCTCTGGACAACTAGCTAGGCACGGGCCTGCAACTTCTGCCATAGGCTCATGTGGGTTGGGAGTGTCCTGTTCGCGCGCGCTCACTTCTCCACATGGCCTTGTAGTAGGCGCAGTTGCGACCCCTACTGGCGGTTGCCTTTTGACTGCTGGGCAGCCCAACGGGCCTGTCTATACTTAGGACAAAATTTTATTACGTGGGCCGGGTCACCACAGAATACGCACTGACCCGAGTTCACGCGTTCCTGCCATAATCGTTGGTCCAAGCCCAAATCTTCGCAGGGCCTGCCTTGTGGCAAGTCTGGGTGCCAACCTCCTTGAGGTGCCCTTCCACCTCTTCGCTGTGGGGATCTATTACCCTGGCGATTTGGCGGGGGACCTTGACCCCTACCTCCCGCTTGGCGGTTTCCTTGGCCGCCAATCCCCTGTGCGCCCGGTCCTCGACCTCCTCTGGCCTGGCCCCTTTGGCCCTGGCCTCCTCCTCTACCTTGCGGCTTCCCTCCAGCCGCGACAACAGCATAAGACCTCCCCTGCCCTACAATACTGTCCTCCTCCCCTAGGCCCCAGTCAATCTGTTCATATGGGACCTCGTCTGTACCACCTTCCTCTAGTGTTAGGATCAAGTGATCCTTGACCTTAACTTGGCCTGAGATGGTACGATCCTTCCACTTCATCCCCTTCTCTAATGCCAAAAAGTGGTGACTGGCATAGACTTTGACTCATACAGGACCACCTCCCTACTCAACACATCGTATGTGATCCCGGCCTGTTGAGACTTGTCAAGGAAATGCCCACGTAGGGCCTCTGGCATGGCACGATAAAACAACTGGACCAACTGGGTTTCAGTGACCCCATGGTCCGGGACGGCTACCAAGTCGTCCATGGTACCCTTGAGTGCCCTTGCACTCSTCCACTGTCGTGAGTGGATCGTTTGTAACTTGTCTGAGGCTCTGACGCCTCACGTTGGGTCAGCAAACTGCTCCTTCAGGAGCTTAAGGAACGGAGAGAGGGGGGTGACTTTGGAGTAGGCGACCAGGTTGTTTTCGCAACTGGCTGCGCGCGCAAGGGATCTAGCGAAACTAGCCGCTTCGTCCTTCAAGGCCTGAAAGGCCACAAGGACTTGCTCATCTATCAATATGTGTTGTAGATAAATATAATTGTTGACACTGGCTTCCCAGTTGTCAAAGTTATCCTCCTTCTTCCCTCCATAAGCGTCTGGGAACTTGAGCTTTACTGGGTCCTTGCGAGGTCTGGCCTCGCCCTCTACTGCGGCTATGGCTTTGGCACCCTCGATGGCGCCCTCACAAAACTTACCTACGTTATCTTTCAACTGCTTTACCTCGCCCCCAATGTGGGTGACGATCTCGCGCGCAAACTCTCTAAAACCTGACCGCATGGCCTTCAAGGTAATATCCTGGCCCTGATTGGCTTGTCATTCCTCTAACCAGGCCTCACTCAACACCTCTAAGTATCCCAACATCTTATCCATCTTGGCAGAAACATCTGCCTGTGTCTGGACTTCCTGCCTACATGTCCGCACCTTTTCCACTTCTGCGGTCAATCGGTTGGCTTTCTCCCTTCTCCTCTTCTGCTCCCTCTTCATCCTCAGTTTCCACTCAAGTCTCTTCTCCTCCTCCGCTTCCTGCCGTTCGAAAGGGTCCTCAATCACTGTGAGGGTCTTGGCAAACGCTTCCTTCTCCTCCTGTGGCACATACATATGTGCCTCCTCATCTTCACCCAACGATAAGTTAGCAACCCACTCACTTATTTTCTTCTCCATCTCTGCGTCTGTGTCTCGCTTCGTGCCACTACTCCCTTCTCTACTCTCAATTCTCATCCTCTCTTTCTCTTCTTTTGCTATCGCTTCTTCTTCAGCAGCCTTCTTCTTTTTCTCCATCTCCTCCTCTATCTCTTTCATCTTCGCCGCCTGTTCCTCCGCAATCGCCTTCAACTTCGCCTGCTTTTCACGCTCTTTTCTCTCCCTATTTTCTTTCACTAAGGTGGCCATTTTCTCTTGCTGCTCCTTGCTATAGGGGCTCGTGTCTAACCCACTACGGGTCTCAACCATGGTGACAAGTGTACAAACGGGTTAGTGGTTCCAAACCTCACCACGTAGACTCTGACCCCTGACTGACAAACCTATAGACTCAATCTAAGAACTCACAGAATCCTGACAAGGACCCTGTCAACTATGGTCTCTAGCCTAGACCTATGCTATGGCTGTCACTACTGAACCAGTGGCTGATCTAGAGGCATTTAAGAAGATCCCCCGTAACTCCGCAAGAATTCTTTAACGTCGCGGACAGGACGACGTGATCAGCTTGGTTCTCCCTGTGCTTTCAGCCCACAACTCAGCCTTTTCGGCCTACTGTGCCACACCGAGCAGCCCGCCGGTTTGTACCGGTCCTTGGGAGGGTTCGTATCCCCCGGGACAGTCGATTCGTCAGACACAGATCCTCAGCCTTACTTGGTCCGGTAGGGGAGTGGTTCAAACAGGCCCTCAACACTTAAAGACTGCTTGTGTTTCAGCCCGCAACTCAGTCTTTCAGGCCCACTTTGCCCTACCAACCGTTTCCAGCCGGTCAGCACCGGTCCTTGGGAGGGTTATGCCCCCCTGGAAAGTTGGATCAGCCACAATCTCAGCCCTACTAGCACCGGTAGGGGAGTGGTCAGCAGGCTCTATCCTTCATCCACAGAGTACTATCACCTAGGACAGAAGAGACTCGATGCAGAAAGAATAGACAGACTGACTTGACTCAACAAGTACCGAGGGGTGTGTGCACATCCACCGTCCGGTCAAAATCAGAAGCCTCCAATGGCTCATATCATACGTGGCTCTACCGGTTAACCAGTGGCTGCATATTTGAAGAAGTAAGAATGGCCCCAACAGTTCAGATTTATGTGCGTTATGTTCAGAAAATGAACCAGAAGATATGCTACATTGCCTGATACGGTGTATAGGGAGGCGACGGAATACTGGGCGAGGGCCTCTCTGGAATTCCCTCTTCTCAACTCCCCTCCCTGAACACCCCATCCAACTCCTTCTATGGACTAACATCCCAGCTCAATTCCACAAGACAGAGAAAACGTGGTTTGCAGTGGTCAGAAAGGTAAGGCTGTGGTCCATCTGGACGGAAAGGTGCTGCAGAACCATTGAGGGACTCTCAACTCCAAGGGAGAAGGTATGGGCGGAGACAAGGACCTTGATTCAGGCAGAGATCCTTTGCAAGTGGCAAAAGACGAGACACTCCACGCCAGATGACAAAGAGCAACAGAGAAGAATATCGGCAAATTTCACTAAGGTCGAAGAGCAACAGAGAAGAATATCGGCAAAATTCACTAAGGTGTGACTCGCTGGGGGCGAAGTAGCAGAGATAAATGACCTTCGCATAAGGTGGAAAGACTGGGATAACTCAGAAGCAGGGTGAAGAAGGCAGAGATCCCAGCCAGCAGATGGACAAGATCCATCACAGGCCACATAATATTGATGGGCAAACTCCGAGGTTGAGTCCGCCGCAGCTTCTTTTACCTTTCTTGTTCTTTATTAGTTATCTGACAGGTTCATGATGTGGACCTGAGAGGGAAGGTGGAAGTTAGGCAAGCTAACGGTCAATCCTCCACGATGCCGGAGTAATCAATGCTGGTCAGGGGTCCCGCGGCCAGACGGAAGGAAGCGTGAGTGTGTGTCATGATGTAACATATTATTCTGACTTGCCGGTGGAATAGGAACCGGACTGATGCTCCCCAGTATGGAAATGGAGCCAGGGCCATAAGGACCTGTTTAATTGAAAAATAAAATAAAATAAAATAAATCCACGTACGACATATCCAACCCAGAAAAACACAAACAACATCTCCAATCCTAAAAAAACAAAAAAACAAAAGCAGCAGCAGCAGTTCCATCTATTGGTGGGCAGCGTCACCTGCTGGGAAACGGGTCCAGCGTCCCTTGTTTTCAGAAGGATTCTGGAATATACAGGAAAGTCTCTGACTCTCTGGTAAGTCACTAAGGAACGCCTGCCAGCATTGATTACTCTGGTTTCCAGAGGATTGACTGAACAACATGTCCAATCCAAAAAGCGGATGTGCGTGTGTTTTACGGTCACTGCAACGGCCCCTTTTCCACCCAGATGTGCAGAAACAGTTTTACCTCTATAGCAAACGATGAAGCGCACTAGGATGAGCAAATATAAGACTGAAACAGCTTTACCTCCATGGCAAACAACATGAAGCACAACAAACCGTTACATTGGCTTTTCCTTGTACGGTCCTTCGACTCCTTTCTTTCTTTTTCTTTTTTTAATGCCCCTTTCAGTGTTAGTGGTGCTGGTAAGAGCAGACACCACTAGCACCTGAGGAGAGGCTCCATCTATTGGTGGGGAGCAGCACCTGCTGGAAAACGGGTCCAGTGTCCCATATACAGATTGAATTTGAAGTGTGTCAGAAAAAAGGTTGTGTAAGTCTCCTGCCAGCATTGATTACTCTGGAGGCCAGAGGATTGACTGAGCAGTCCAGCGTCCCATCATACATCAAGCAGGTCTGTCAGTATTGATTGCCCATCCAGGGAGTGTACTGAGCAGGCTGTACGGCACACTCTTTTGTACAGAAAATGTGTGATGAAGACAGCATTGCAGAGACATCTCTTCAGCCCTGGTTCGGCTGCCAGATTGAGCGCTTCTTTCTAATGTGACTGCACTACCTACTATAAATCCGGTCCTTCCCACACTTCCTGTCGCCGCCGGGATGTTCGCAGACTTGCAGGGGCCAAAAACTGTTGCAGAAACGTTTGCTACCCCGGGGGGCACCGGCGGGTGATTCCTGGCCGATGGGCGCGGGGTACCTCAAGTGAGGATCTCCACTAAAGAAAGCGGTTGAGGGGGAAAGGAGTCCGGGAAATCAGAAGGGGGTCTCATAGGGACGGAGGGCTCAAAATTAGTCCAATGTTGAAGACGGGGCGGTAATCTCTGGAGGGGCCCTGTGCCGCTCTGGACGGCTGGTCCCCTCTCAGTTGGTCCCCTCCCCACTGTACCCTGGCCACCCATCCCCCTTGGTCCCCCCCAAGCCAGTCTGTGCAAAAAACAGTGAGAGCCCTCTTGATATCTTGGTCGTTTGAAAAGTATCCAGCTGGTGTTTCAGGTCATGCCATCCGCGTAGCAATTCCAGCTGAACCTGTTCCTTAATTTGTCCTATGAGCTCCACATCCCCCGCTCTAACGCTTTCCAGGTTGAGAAGGCAGCGTTGCCACCACAGGGCCCAGAGGATTGTTCTTCTGCCCAGGTTGAACCAGTTTTCCGTGTGGGAGGATGTCGTAGCCATTGCCGTATCATCTTACGCCACACCCGGTCCCACCAGCGCCACGTCGGTAGCGCCACCGGGCACTGCAGGAAAATATGTTCAATGGGGGTACCCCTTTTTCTTTCCGCTTGCAGCTCCTCCTTAACTGTGCCTGTACAGTACAAGTCTTGCCACATTGATTAAACCACCAGTACCTCTACCAGTGTGCGGCCGCAGGGCGTTGACGTTAACGTGCCACGACTTCTGGAGGCCCGCGCCACGACGCCACCCATCAGAATTTTAATGTACGGCTAGCGTTGCGGCGCGGGCTTCCGGAAGTCGCGGAGAGGACAACGCGCCAGTATAACCCGTAGGTACTGGCAGTTTAACAGCCCACTTGCACACTATGAAAGGAGGCAGAGTAAAGGGGGAGGTATACTACTCCTGTTCATTTCTCAGCAGATCTTCAACTTCTATTTTGTCTGTCTTTTTAATGATAATTATCCGTATGCATTTAGGAGTACTACACCAGGGGGTCCATTTCTCAGCAGATCTTGAACTTCCATTTTGTCTGTCTTTTTAACGATGATTATTCGTATGCATTTAGGAGTACTACACAAGGGGAGGGAGGAAGGAAAGAACGAGGGAGGGGGGAGGGGAAGGACATCGGAACGGAGCAAACACAAACTTCACACAAGTTCACAGCGTTCTCAGTACTAACCACCAGAGCAGACTTCTATAGAATGGTGCTAGAGGCCAGTCAGTGCCTGGGTTGCTGGGAAATTTGAGTTGAGCAACAGGCGTTGCCTAAGATAAGGGACCACGGCCTCAGACCGGATGGAACCAGTTAGGGTGCAGACTGTGGCATCGAATGGCACGGCGTAGACAGATGTCACAGGCTACATGCTAGAAACACAGAGGCACGCCGACCACAATTGTAAAGACGTTGCCCTTCCAGCGCTTGTCTACAAATAGGACATGCCAGGGTGTCGTACATGAGTAGAATGTTGACTATCAATCATCATACGCATGGAAACAAACACTTGGATACCATGCATAGGCTATACACAAGACCTTCATACTTTTCACGACACGAAGCATGTCAATCGCATGCTACTGTAGCCGAATCTCAGGCGGGCCATTGCAGTGCGGCATTGAGCATGTTTCTTGGGTTTCCGCATCAAGCATTCCCTCTCTATGGGCATCCGATGGCGGGACCTGATTCAAAGTAAGGGTGTTTAGCTGTTGCAAGATCTGGCCTGCAACAGCTTGCCCTGACGGTGATAACATTTCAATACAGTGCATTGTAGTGTGGTTCATGTGAGAGTCTATCTTCCACCGCTGGCTGCTGTATCTGTTGTTCATCCGGCAAGGATGGAGGGTATTGGATCACGGAGAGGACATGGCAGGTGATGTCATCGGGGATAGTCCATCCGGCAAGGATGGGGGAGATCCGATTACGGGTGAGGCCAGAGGATGCCCAAAGTTGCATGTGGGACATGATGGTCGGTGATGACATCTGAGATAGTCCACACAGTAGAGATAATACTATCCATGACCTCTTGCTGAAAAGATTGACGATACATGTCATCTCGCTGGTGTGCCATCTCACGGAAAGCAGGCTGATGTTTGCAGTTATTTTTAGGCATGGCATGTCATGAGGGCTGATGCTTCCTGTGCTCAGAATTAGGGCGTCGCCACACCACTCTGGAAATGTGAAAAAAACAAAAATGTGGCCGGTGCACCTGGCCCTGCTCTACTGGGAAGTTCATTCTCATTTTGCACATTTCCGACGATGCCCTTCGCATTTGCCAGTGCGTGAGCAATTGGCCTGCGCACCATCTGGCAAAACCAGTT